CATACACATATATATATACACACACACACACATATATATATATAAATCTGTATATATATATATATATGTACATATCCAATCATTCACACTTACGAGCACACATACACGTACATGCATACATGCATACATAGATACCTACATACATGCACACATACATACATATATACACACACAAATACATACATACATACATATATACAGACATGCATACTTTTGACATACCTACATACATATATACACACACGCACGCATGTCTGTTATCTGGCATACATACATACATAATTCCATAATATAAGCCTGCATTCATACATACATTCATACATACACAAACATATATATATATATATATGTATATATTTATATATATAAATATATATATATATAGTCGTGTGGAAAAATCAAATCATGTCTGAACAAATGTTTGTTGACAGTTTAAACTATGACACGAAGTTACTATGTGCATGTGTGTGTGCTGTTAGTTCATGCACTTTGCTGGGCTGTTTCCTCGTCTTCTTTAATTTATGGACGAATGTACGGCTAGATGCTTACATAATCTTATTCAACTCCGATTCGAACTGATTTGTTGATGGGTGTGTGTTCAACGTGAATATGTCTTGCTGTGCTAATGACTTGTATTCTTTTTCTGTATGAGCCTATTTGCGTACTTGGTTGTCTACTCCTTTGTTTTTGGGTGTACTATCTGCATGTGACATATCGAGTTCCTATGCTCAAGTATATATAACATTGCTTTAGATAAATCGCAGATCTATACTTACAATTTCATCTGGCATAGACTGCTGTGAGTTGAACAGGGGTTTTTGAAGTACACTTTGATAGTCACTCTCTCAGAGCGCTCTCGCATCGCTCCAACACTTCTTGACTATATCAACACCCTCAACAGAGGAGAGCAGCGGAGAGGAAGATTCGTGGGTGTCGTGGTTTTGCAGTCTAGCAGGAAACGAGTTCTTCTGTCACGGTATGCCATGTGTAAGGGGGTACATTAATTTGGTTGGACTTTCCGGTGTATTCCGTAGATTAGTCGATTTTAATTGGTGCTTTGCTGCGTAGCTACACGCTAGTCTATACAGGTGCCTGTGACATAGATTCGGATGCGTATGCGTTTGATTATTTTTTCTTCGAATTAAGTCTCGACAAGATGCCTCTCAGCCCGGATAAAATGTGTTCAAGTGAAGGTTTAGCAAGCCGATAGAACATACTTACGAACGTTTATTTGGATCTAGTTTACAAGGGTGTGGATTTTATACACCACTTGTTACTGCTTTTGACTGATGATTTTTAGTGAAAGGTACTCGCTCTGAGCTGAGCGAGCATCTGTCGACATTTATGTCGTCCTGGCGCATGGCTTTAAATATTTCATAGCCTATTTTTGGAAATACACAGACTCAAATCTATCTGCCTGTGTGTGCACACTAAGGTATGTACGTACACACACTGGAGCCCGTGCAGACACCTATCTACTCACGTAAGCATGTTTAGGTTTATGATTAGCAATGCACGTGCGTCTACTATTTAGCTAATTCTGAGTCGATCCAACCTCGACGCAGCTAATTGCCTAGCTACTGTGCACTGGGAATAGGCCAATACATATAAGTATATTTTCGAAGCACTATCGTCCATGCTTATGGACATCACCTACTATCGTTACCCGCACTACGAAACGAAGAACTTTCACAGACGCTTGTTTACACTCACAATTGCTAGCAGCGAATAACTCGGCGTTGTCTCATTGCCTGTTTACAGTTGACGAAGACTGGATGCTCGATCGATTCAATCTCACGGGGATTAACGAGCATGTCTACAGCTACCGCAAAGCACTGGACATGATCCTAGACCTCGAAATGGAAGGGGAGGCATCCGAAGAAGAGATTGAGCGCATTGAGCAGAGCGCAGAGGTGCTGTACGGACTCATACACGCGCGTTATATAGTTACGTCCGCTGGGTGTGCGCAGATGGCGGCCAAGTTTTATAATAAGGATTTCGGGGAGTGCCCCAGAGTATTATGTGCCGGGCAGGCGGTGTTGCCGGTGGGCTTGTCCAATACTCCGTGGGACAACACCGTGAAACTGTTCTGCCCGAACTGTCAAGATGTAAGTGTCCTCGAGGGTATCCATTTCACATGTGCATGTTTCTTTGTGTGTGTGTATCGTATAGTTATTGTGTGCTGCGATGTGTGTCAGCTCACACATCCATGGATTTGCTACTCTTGCACGTATATATGTGCGCTTTTTCCATCTGGACATAGATGCGGGTTGATACATGACTACTACTACCAATATGCAGCAGGCAAGACCAGCACATGTTTGGCGCATGTTTTAGGTCAAATTCCGTGATATACGCAGCGTTGTTGACAAATGCATCTGAAACTGAGCATGTCTCTGATTTGTGTTAGCGTTTGCATAATGTACAAGCCTCCGAGCATATACACACGTTATGGTGTGCGTTTCATGCTACATAAACGTCGAGTAGTTGTTCGAGACCTTTCGGTCAGGGGATGTTTATTGGAATCATTCGATCGCTGTTGTTTTTGTAAACTTCGGCCAGTACACCGATTCGTAAGTCGCGAGCTTTGTAGAACGCCACGAAGTATTTGTGAGTGGAAAAGTGGAAAACAATTTACACCGGACCTTTCCATATGTATTAAATCGCAATTTTTGCTCGGTGTACAGATATATAATACGAAGTCGAGTCGACATCGACACATAGATGGAGCCTTCTTCGGAAGTGGAAAACAATTTACACCGGACCTTTTCATATGTATTAAATCGCAATTTTTGCTCGGTGTACAGATATATAATACGAAGTCGAGTCGACATCGACACATAGATGGAGCCTTCTTCGGAAGTGGAAAACAATTTACACCGGACCTTTCCATATGTATTAAATCGCAATTTTTGCTCGGTGTACAGATATATAATACGAAGTCGAGTCGACATCGACACATAGATGGAGCCTTCTTCGGTTGCACCTTTGCACACCTGATGTTAGTTGTGCAACTGCAGTGGGAGCCATCCATTGAACCACGCATCTACGTGCCGAAGATATACGGATTCAAGATCCACCCGTCTGCCGTAAAATATTCCCAAAGAAAGGCACAACTATCACGAAGAAAAAAGCAAAACGATAATACAGAGCGAGATAGAGTGCGACAAGAGAAGATGATAAAGGATTTACGCACGCCCGCAGAACACGCGGCAGCTGACGCTCAGAAATATCAGGCTCAGTAGTGCTGAGATGGGGTGTAGTATGGTATAAGTATACGGAAACCCCCTATCTTTAAACAAAAGTTGTACATAAATATGAATCTTGGAAATGTTGCGCAGGGTATTGGGGACCGTCTGAAAATTAGGACTTATAGATTGTATTGTAACAATAGGAA